TAACAAATTCTAAAAAACCTTAAAATATTAATTGTGGTGGATGTAATGACGCTTATACAGTCCACTGAGTGCTGCTAACTACTTTGCTTCCCTGAGAAAATAGGCTTTAATGTGTAAAGGCCCAAAACATATGCATCATGTAAATGATGTCCCATTGTGACAATGTGGTGTCAAAATAATGCCAAAATTAGTATCTACATTGAATGATTCAATGATTTTTATTTGATGTCACCCTATGTGCGCAATTTAGCTGAGATGCGAAATTACAGCAAAGTTTTGCATTTATATGGTCTATCTCGAAAAAAATCCAAATGTTATGATCACTTAACACATAATTAGGAATCGGAATTATAAGTCACACTGTTGATAACAGGCCGACGCTCATGTTAATTTACTACAGATGCATGGGCTATGAGGAAATCTTAAGATCTGATAATTGAGAATTTTGAAAACTTTAAAAATGGCCTTTTGAAAATCTTTATAACGATTATTTAATGTGATTTTTTTTCCAGTGGAGCGAACTAGCATTCAAAGTAATTTTTAAAAGTTAAAGAACTTTAATAAAATTTTCATTCTTCGATTACATTTCGCCGCTTCTATCATTTTTACATTGTAAAAGTAGGCAGGATTTATTTGACCCAAATCTGCAAGAAGTATTATAACTCACTTTTAGAACCAGCACCACCTTAAGACTGTCTTCATCCAGTTAACATATCTGATAGCATTAATAAAAATGACATTACCATTTATATCTAGGTGGGCACAAACTCAATCGCTTAAGATAAGGTCAAATACTTCTGACAGTTGCCAAATGGCTCTTTGATGAAGGTCTACTACGCAGATGACGTAAATATGCTTTAGTTATACCCCAGAGGGATGTGTTGTCGCACAGCATTTAAAATTTTACTGCTTCCTATTTTCCTACCGCACCTTCTCTTATGTTGTCAAGGTGAACTTATGCACAATGAGTGAGCTTTTTACTTCAGAATTTACAGCCGGACAAATTTAGACTTTGCGTGCGATTTCTAGACAGCTGATTCTATTTATATTAGGCTCACTAGGAACTATTAGTTAATGCATGAATATTTACTAGAAGTATAAATTGTATGAGGAGATAACGCACTATGCAGTTGAATTATTAGCAGCCATCACGTAGAAGGTGCTCAATGGTAAGGTTTTGTAATATCGAATAGAGAGCATTTGCCATTTATTACCACATTTTCAGACTATTAAATCTGCGACACTCAAAGGCGCACATTCTAAGGCACTAAAGGCTACTTATCAGACAGAAGAGTACATCAGATCAACAGCGGTGATTACATTGCTATCGCTGATTTTCAAATAACTACTCATGAGGGACGTGATAAATCGCTTACTAAATAGGCCTACTAACTTACCTAAGAGTTGTTGAAATTAGTTAGTCAAGTTTTCTACTAAGAGACAGCAAATAGCTGATCCTGCCAGATAAAGAACTTTTCTAACCTTTGCCTTTATTACACCCGATGGGGGCTTCTTGAGCAATTACATAGCTGTGCGAAATGTATGATGGAAACTCCTAACCCATTGAGGCCACAGCAACTACTTTCCAGCAGCTGTTCACTAAACGGTACCTACTTTGTTTAAGTTGCTAGCAGTGAGTATGAGAAAACTAAAACCGCACTACTGACTGCCGCATCATTTTCACCCACTTTGGTTTGTATAATTTTAACTGCAGAATAGATATAGAGGAGCCAACTTGATGAAGCAAATGTGTAAATAAATAGCAGAAAATACTAGTGTATCTATGGAGAATCCACAGTTTTCTCGACAAAATTAAGCTAGTATGAATTTTATAGGCATCTGCTAACATGCAAAGGAGATAAGTACTATGGTATGTTTACTCTATTGATAGCAGTATCAGTAACATCAGCTCTAAGGGAAAGGGGACGGATGAACACCTCCAAATGCAATAAATTATGTCAAGAATCTCAACTAGGAATGGAAATGCATCGATGCCAATTGACGTGGATTGATAGTAATGAGGGCATTTGTGGTATTATTGTCCTCACATGATTTGGTACTGTAAGGAGATAATTTGCCTTATGTTTTCGAACAATTTTTAACCAATTTACTTCACGAACTTAATTTTATTTTCTTTCCCCAATCTACTTTACTGGAATCGACCCGAATTAAAAAATTTAATTTACGTTTATACAAATTGGTCTTATGATCGCAGTGGATAGAAATGAATGATTAATAAAATAAATAATGAATTTGGGAAAACCGTACCTATTAAATATTACATGCCACAAGTTTAAGAATCTGTTTCAGCCCCATACCGTCTGATAATTTCATGGTTGAATTGGATTCCATCACGTGGTCATTTCTCTGTCGGCACATTGGCAGGTTGAATGATTCTGATGCCAGATTCATTCATGGCTAAATAATGGATGCTTATCTAGCAGTTTTTGCTACATTGAAAGCACATTGCATTGACACAAAAAAGCGCATGTTTTTGCGGTACAGTTGATGAGTATTTAACACGACTGTATTTTTCATAACAGGATAGATCTAAGTCTGAAAATTTGGGGAGATGGTTATCCAGTTTTGACATATTTTGTACATAGGTGTGGGATCAGTTAAAAGAGAAAAGGAAGGGAAAAAATACTTTGTGCAGAAATATTCAGAGAAAATTTTTTCCCTCGAAATGCATAATTCACAGTAATATAGCATATGGGTGCAGGTACCAAGTATCAGCACCCCTCTAGGGTGGCCCTTGATTGCGTAGACGAGCTGAAACATTTATTTGCCTTATTCCATCACAGCACTGAATGTATCACCCCATTACGAAAGCAGCATTTAAATCATTTGCTGGTGGTCTGCGTGCATGACCGTCGCTCATATTGCGTGTGTCAGTATAGTAGGTTTTAGAATAAAGGGGCTTAAAGGAGGGGAATGCCAAATAAATGCAGGTGAAATAAGAGCGATGAAAACACCCCAGTAAAACAGAATGTCTGGACTGACGAGAACCCTAACATATGCAGAACATGCTCCTTTCGACCTATT